ATTTAATGGTTTTCATACAACTACTTAGAACAGCAACAGGTAAAATAAATCTAAACAAAAAATATAACAAATAACAGAAACAAAGGCACAAAATTGCTTAAGTTTGGGGTTTTTCCCCAGCATTTTTTGCCCTCAGACAAACCAACTTTTTTCCTGCTAGAAGTCAGGAAAATACTTGCCAGTGAAGGAACTTACTCATCTTACTGTGAGTGGGGTTTGGACATAAATTGGTACTATTGGTAATAGGCATTTTATACTATCACCACAAAGTTGACACACGTAAACATTTCTGCACTGTACATATTGCATATCAAAATACACTTTAAAAAGGTTCCATACTGAGACAGACTTAGGAGTACTGAAGGAATCAAAAAAGATACTACATAAAAGCTCTCTTCTGTGGGAAAATCAATTTCCTAACAAAGGCAACTGAATGGAGACTGTAAGACAGAAAAAGAATTCCCTTAAGCCTCTTTAGCTACAGTAGAGACTCCTAACGATCTTCAGAAGTTGTACTTCTAAGTTTAGCAGCAAGGGGAAGTGTACTGGCAACAGCTAAGAAGATTTTGCAACGTTGGTGACTTTTAGACATTCACAGTTAAAGAGAGAGAAAAAAAATCAGAAATAAATTTTCCTTGAACTTTTTCAAACCTTTGACACACTTTGGCACAAGACAGAAGAATCTTTTCTCTGAACTTTTTAACAAGCATCCACCTGTTTTCTATGAAGGTGTTTTAAGATCAGAGTGGCCTCGGAGAGAAACAAATTGGTGCAAAGAAATGTAATGAAATCAAGAAACTTAAGAGCCATCAAGAGGGAGCTTAGAAAAGGTTTCAGCAACTGTAAATTTAGACCATGATGACAGCAGTTGTAGAAATAAAAACATCAGCTTATTATATTTTTTTGGCAGTTTGCATAGTTTCCACGTCCAGCTTAAATTGCGTATCATTTCCAGTAACGAGTGGCATCCCTCAGGGATCGGTGTTGGGACCTGTGTTGTTCAGCATCTTTGTCGGTGACATGGACATTGGGGTTGAGCGCGCCCTCAGCAAGTTTGCCGATGA